ATATTTTTGAATGAGCGTTTGCGCTGTTTACTTTCACTTTCGATTTCGCGATCACAGGCACTCTGTGTAAAGGGAGCACATCTTACAAGATCAGATATTTGTCAATGAGCTCAGGATCTGTTGAGCAGCAAATACTCCAGCATGGTCTTGTCAGTCATCTCTCCTTATTCTCGACCTGAGACCAGTCAAATTTGACTCCTGCAGCTGTTGTTGGATGCAGGGTTGCCAAGTCTGCGTTTTTTCCACAGAATTGGGCTACTTTTAAACTGTTGCCATGGGTTGATTTTCCCAAGTGGGTTAAAAGTTTAAAATATTGCATAAATTGCATTTGACCGAAATGCTTGTATCACTCCTTTAAACATTCTAATATTGTGTATAATTTTGGCGCATCAGGGAGCCGCTCTCAAGATGCGTGTATTTACATATTTTTGAATGAGCGTTTGCGCTGTTTACTTTCACTTTCGATTTCGCGATCACACGCACTCTGTGTAAAGGGAGCATATCTTACAAGATCAGATATTTGTCAATGAGCTCAGAATCTGTTAAGCGTATACTCCAGCATGGTCTTGTCAGTCATCTCTCCTTATTCTTGACCTGTGATCAGTCAAAGCTGACTCCGGTAGCTCTTGTTGGATGCAGGGTTGCCAAGTCCGCATTTTTTCCACAGAATTGGGCTACTTTTAAACTGTTGCCATGGGTTGATATTCCCAAGTGGGTTAAATGATTGAAATGTTGCATAAATTACCTTTGACTGAAATGCTTGTATTGAAACATGTTGCATTTTACCTATGATAAAACTTTCATGGACTTCTACATTAACTGTTCCCTCCTGGAAAACTTTCATGCCCAGCTCAATCCAAGCAGCTGAGTCCTTAATATTTTCAAGAAACGGCTGAAAACACATCTCTTTCATCTTCATTTGACCCTCTAACTCTAGCACTCTCTATTCTAATGCTACTTCTAATTTTATCTGCATGTTTTTTTTAATTAAAATCTAACATTTGCACTCTGTATTCTATTTCTATTCTAACTAGCCTACTTGTTTTTTTTTTATAAAGAAAAAAGAGCCTCTAACACTAGCATTCTCTATTCTTTCTACTTATTTTCTTTTTATTTATTATAAACAATGACCTTCTAACATTAGCATTATCTATTATTTTTCTGTTCTATTGACTTGTTTTGTTTTTATTTTAAAATTACCCTCTAACAGCATTCCCTATTCTTTTTCTATTCTTTCTACATGTTTTCTTTTTATTTATTATAAAAACAAAATAAGCAACAACAAAAAAAAACCTTGCTACGTATACTGTTAGGTGAACCCCGCCCCCTACTGTTCTCTTTTTGGAAAACTAAAATATGGTCACCCTATTATTGCCATACTTTGGCTACTTTCTTGCTAAATATTAAGCAAGCGACGCGAGTCACCGGGAATCTAGAACGCATCTGACTGCAAGCGTTCGAATTTGGTCGCGTCGCGTTCAGAGCAGACGGGCTGTAAGAGGAGAGGAATATTTTGCCCTTTACTGCCCTGAGACCGGTGACGTAGAGAATCCCCAAAACTTGCGGAAAGTGTGGAGAAAAACAGGCTGCAGTCTATGCGGCGCGCTCATCTCCAGTGAAAATGCGAGGATACATTCAAACTCATCGTATTCGCTTCCATGAAGCGCTTTATGTCCTTTATATGTTGTGTTATGTCAGTAATTTAGCTTGTGCTGCTGCGGAAGTGTCGGACAAAACTGAAGTTTGGAACAAAACTCAGCTTCTCGAACTGTACAGTAAGTGCAATCGGCCTGCGCGACACATCTGTATTCATGAAACGATACTTTCCTCGGTGGCATGAGCGCGTGGGTTTGGTCAGGATCAAGAGTTTGTCGTGTAGATGAAGTGATCTGCAGATTACATTAGTATGTAGAGCGCATAGTCCAGCTCTTCTCTGGGTGGTGTGTCATTCCTTGTCTGAGATCATCCTGCACAGACTATTATTTCAGTCTCATACGGGAGAGTAAGCTAAATACGTTTAGTAATGCGTTTTAAAGACTTACACAACTGCTGCCCTTGTCTAAGGGAAAGTTTTCTGCACACAAAATAACCGATAGGCGGATGCTCATCACATGATACAACAGTTCGGAAACAACTGTAAAAAGTACATTTTGGACTAAGGAACTAAAGAATATTTTCAGTGAAGGTTTGTTTTTGTACAGGCATATACCTCAAAGACTTGGACAAAAAAAAATGACTGACTTTTTCAAAAAAGTTATTGAACATTTGTTGACCTTTGGGACATGACACAGACTGAGTATGTTTGTCACAATGAAATCTGCCTCCTCAGCTAAATGTAAATGGTTAAACAATTATGACATAGACCAACTTATGAAGCTGCAGAACTGACAGGAAACAACATGACAAAGATGTTAAATTATTGGTCTGGCCACCGTAGCGATAAATTAATGATGTGACAACTTGCCCCAGTATAATTTAACATACAACCCTTTGTAAATAACAGTTCAACTTTTCAGTTAACATCTACCTTTATTATATAGGTAACCTTGGCTGAATATAGTGTAGGTTTTAATATTTATATAACATTTAAAATACAAAACCACTGCTAGAAAAATATAAAAATTTTAAAATAAAAATGAAATATAAATTAAAAATAAATACAAATAAATGAGTAAATGTACATATAACTTTTTGTTGATAACACAGTTCAACTTTTCAGTTAACATCTAACATCATTATATAGGTGAAACTTATTGACTGTATATAGTGTTGTTTTATTATTTATTTAACATTTAGCATACAAAACCACTGCTTTTAAAACAAAGTTTTTAATTAAAATCTATCTATCACTATAGATGAACAGAGTGATCAAGAGGCTCGATTCTATATTTCTTTTCTTTAAGTAATGAACAATCAATTTGGCAATCAATTAATCAATGAAATTTGGCATGTTGTCCACATTTTCCCTTAAAGCCTAAAATTGAACAAATCTTGCAGATTATACAGTATACTGCATGACTTCTCCTCTAATAGTCAGATAATAATCAAATAATCAGAATGTCACAAGTATGTCCCCCACTGAAGGACACAGTGGGTTTCTGAAGTTCGTCCAACAGCCTGATTCGCTATATCCCAGTGCATTTACATTTACATTCATGCATTTGGCAGATTCTTTACTCCAAAGTGACTAGCACTGCATTACAGTTATGCATTTATCATTATGTGCGTCACTTGGGAGACAGCATTGTGAGTCACCCAGCTGGTTATAAACAGGGTCAGCTGAGGTCAGCACATACATAAACAGACACCTCAGACCAGTAACAACACGCTCTACATGTCCCATTTGGGTCTTGCAGTTCCAGAGGGTTTTATGATCTCACATAGCAAATAATTAATCTGTCACTGAGATATTTATGGTCGTTGAACACATTCAGTTTCAAGAAGTAGGAGGAATCCAGGTAAAGTAGGACACTTTCACCCAAAAATGAACCTCTATGTGACTTGAACTCTTTTAAAGAGTGTTTCCACTGTTTTTATTCATACAATTAAAGACAATTGGGTTCAAAACAACACTGGAGCCATACTGATTTTCATTGTATGGACAAAAAAAAATCTACAATAATACAACAATCTAATCTTTTCCACTTCAAGAGCATGTAATGATCTTGAGTTGGTATTGTGTGAGGAAGTAAGCCATTTTATTAACATTTTAAAACAGTGCAGATGAAAAATGGTCAGAGTGTGTCATACTTTACTAGTATTCACCCTAGATATCTTAACATATTATTCCCATTCTCAGCATAAGCTAAATAAAAATGTCACTACCAGACAAGAAAATCCTATACTTCCTATACTTTCAAGCATATTCCTGCTTTCAGACATATGGCGAGGATAATGCATAACTTCCCTTTAAAGTTTGACAATACTCTGTGTGTGTTCGACTGGTTGAGAATATCTTTGTCTTTGGCCCGTATCTTCAATTACTCTTTCGTGTCAACCCCCACAAAAGACCCTCAGCTCTGTCGGCTCTGAGAACTCTGAAATATTAAGCCCCATTTTGTGGAGGTGAAACTGGAGATAGCAGCTCTATCTTTCTATCTGTTTGCTGCATAATCAGACCTGTCTGATACCTCAGTGCCTCTGAATCTCCAATATCACTTGCCTTTATAATCTAACATGGCTCTGCATGTAAATGGCTATATAATACCCCTAAAGAAAGGCTTTTCCCACTGGTCAAAAAACCCTAGGGCCTCACATCTCCAAGTGTATTAGATACGACAAGAAAATATGCTTTAGCTTGGTCAATTTGAAACCTGCCATGTATACCATTGTTGTGCATCTGTGTTTGTGTGACTCAGATAAAGGTGTTTTCCGGTTGGAGAGTATATCGCAGAAGCTTTGCCTCTCAGCGGACACGTCCGGTCTATCTCTGACCAGCTGTGACCCCCCGTCTGCCACCCTGCTTTGGAAATGGGTGTCCCGGCACCGTCTCTACAATCTGGGCACCAATCGATGTCTTGGGATCAATGCGACCAAGATGCTGCAGCCTGATGTGGGCGTCTTTGAGTGTGACGTTTCCCTCCCAACCATGTGGTGGCGCTGTGGAAGCAGCATGTTATATAGTGCGATGAATAATAAGCTAACGGTGGTGGACTCCAAAGTGGTGGTGAGGAAGACCACATCAGTGCATCAGTGGAGGATTTACGGTGCGGCCGGTGAAGGGCCATGCGCTTACCCATATGAAGGCAAGATGTCTTCAGACACATTTTTTAAAACTGGGATTAGCGACAAATACAAGTGTCCTTGATAAAGCAGAAGTAAAAATCTAGTTTAAAAGCCTGGTCACACTAAGAACGGTAACTGTAAAGATTACTATAATGATAACTATATTAACGCCCACACCAACGGATGATAACGTTCTGTTTATTATAAGCGTGCCTGCCACTTTAAATGTTTGAGCTCTTTGAAATCAAATGGATTCTGATTGGCTATTTTATGGCCAACAAATGTTGTCATTAAAAAATTGGTTCATTTTACAACATATAAACACATAGCATCTAGCCCCAATAAAAATGACAACTTGCCCCAACCTGATATTTATGAAAGATGATAAATATTGTTATATAATAACTCTGCGTCCAGTTTTTAAAACACAGACAGATTAGCTGGAAAAAAATCTTTCTGAAAGTGATTCCAACAAAATCGTCCCTGTTTCATTATCGTTATTGCTGTGGTGTGAACCTTATTATTCTTATAGCAGTAGAACAATAATTAAAACTTTATAGTTATAGTTAAAATTATAGTTATCATCCTTGGTGTGAATGGCCCTATGTGCCAAGTTTTAGACTTGCACTCTTTGTATTTGTGTTGATTTCATATGGTTTTGAAAAACTTTTATTTAGTTTTCATGAAAAGTTTCAATTGAATGACAAATTAAAAAATGTAACCATCACATAAAAAGTAATATATTTTTCATAACATATATATAATTGATATAATATCTTATATATGAAAAACATTACATTCTTACATTTTGAGTACATGTGAATGTACACATCTTAATCATTAATTTGATTAAAATATAAATTTATATAATATATTTTGTAAATCACAATATATATATATATATATATATATATATATATTTGAGCCAAATCATATAGATTTTACAATCTTTTTGATATTTTAAGAGACTTACTAACCTTTACCAGTGGTCCTCTCTATGATATTTCCTGTTTTATGTTTTTGTCCTCCATTATTCCAGGTGTTGGTCACACCACATTACTTAAAACTTAAACTTACCAAAGCTAAACTTCAGTCAACCTGCTCTCTAGATATCTGTATTGATGACTGAAGTCCCATTTTGGTTGACAACTTTAAAGTATTGCATTCAGTGGATTGTTTGATGAGGTTTATTTGATGTGGCTGCAGTCATACAGCTTCTGCTTGTTCTATAACTGTTGTTTTCGTGATGTTGACAGACATCCACACGTTACAAGGAAACTCCCGTGGGATGACCTGCTCCATACCCTTCAAATACAACAATAAATGGTTCTGGGATTGTACCTCTGAGGGCAGAGAGGACCGTCACCTCTGGTGTGCCACCACTAACCGCTATGATCAAGATGAGAAATGGGGCTTCTGCCCTAATCCAGGTAAAGTCACATATTAAGTAGTTGAAATAGGACATTTTTACTTTTCTGTACACTACCGTTCAAAAGATTGGGGATTTTATGTAGTTCTATTCAGGGCTGAAGTTGATCAAAAGTGACAGTAAAGACATTTACAGAAGATTTCTATTTTAAACAAATGCTGTTTCTTTCTATTCTATTCACCAAACAATTGTGAAAAATGTATTACCATTTCCACACAAAAAAAAATCCAGTACAACTCTTTTCAACAGTGATCATAATCAGAAATGTTTCTTGAGCATCAGCATATTAGAATGATATCTGAAGGATCATGTGACACTGAAGACTGGAGTAATGATGCTGAAAATTCAGCTTTGCATCACAGAAATAAATTACATTTTAAAATACATTAACATAGAAAACAGTCGTTTTAAATTTCAATAATATTTGACAATATTACTGTTTTTAAAAAACATTCAAAAACATGTTCACATTAACATGTTCACAAGCATAAAAAAAAATACAGATCTCAAACTCTGGAACAGTAGTGTACTGTATATTGAGTATATACTATCTAACTAAAGGAACCAAACAGAGCCTGTCTATGTGTTTTCTCCAGTGTCAGACTGCAATGAATTCTGGGAGAACCATCCAGAGCTGAATGCCTGTTATCAGTTTAACTTGTACTCCATCCTCACCTGGAGTCAAGCTCTTACTTCCTGTCAAGCACAGGGTGGGAGTCTTCTGTCCATCACACAGTCCAGTGAACAGAGCTATATCATAGGTATACACACGCTCAAATGTTTGCACTAAAAGATCTTTTGAAATCTTTCCTTTGTATTTCTTTGCTGACATGTTGCTAATGCTGGTTTGGTGCTGGTATAACTAGATAACCAGCATAGCCGTTGTGTTTGCCAGCTAAATTTAGCTGCTGGAGATGATCTCATGAGCATGGTGTCACTGGTGAAGCTGTTGCCAGTTAATAAATAAACTTACCTCTTACCTCTTTGTCACTGTAACTGTGAATTTTCTTTTTTTTTCTGTGATACACGAAAGAAAATCTTTGGCTAAATGGCCAAGCTTCTGTTTTCCATTGAAGGATATTAGAAATTACATTTCCGGTCAAAAGTTTGGAATAATTAAGACTTTTAAATGTTTTTTGATAGAAGCCTCTTATGCTCACCAAGGCTGCATATATATATATAATGTAGCGTTGGTTTAAAAACAGAATTATTTCAGTGTATATGGTTAGTTATACTGTCTAGCTCTCAAAAAGTATCAAAAAGTAGTCCATGTCACTACTATATACCCAATCTTCTGAAACTATAAGATACATTTAATAGTCATATGGACACCTTTTATGGTGCTTTTGTTTGTCTTGTACACTCCAAAGAGAAAGGAAAACTTGAAATCGCATCATATGACCCCTTTAATAGTATCTTGTTGTTTCTTTTTATGTAGTCCAGGGATTGTTACTAAAGAGTTTGTTTGAACATTTTATAACCTGGATGTTTTAGAAAGTCATGAATTTACATAGACATGGTTTCATGGAAGTATTTCATTGATGTGTCACTGTTGTTGTTGTGTTCCACCAGGAAGACTCTTAGATATGGGTGTGATGGTCTGGATTGGATTAAACCATCTCAGTCAACACGGGGGATGGCAGTGGTCTGATGGATCTCCTTTGGCTCTTGTCAGTTATACCGCAGGTACTTCGGCTTATGTTATTAGGCAGAAGAGTTGTTCTTCATGGGCAGTATTACCTATTAAAGGGATATTATTAAAGTTTTTTTGTTTAACAGAAGTTAGAAATCAAGTTTGGAACAACTTGAGGGTGAGTATGTATTTCCTTTAAATACCCTATTCACTGTTTGTTCATCTCTTCCTGTCCAGATCTGACCTCCACGCCGGTGCAGGAGAACCAGCAGTGTGGGGTGTTTAACTCCACGCTGGATTCCTGGCAGAGTCTGTCCTGTGAGTCAGCCTTGCCTTACATCTGCAAGAAAACCACCAAACACAACCGGAATGCCGAGCCGCTTGGTAAAGAGATGACTGATCTGACTGGTCATTCATTTTTCCCTTTCATTAATCCAGCTTTTTTGTCCGTCCATCCAACCGTTTCTAATAGCTCTTTGTCATTTCCTCTAACATGTCTGACTTTTCCCAGACTCTCCATTCCCCTGGTTTTCTCGAGTCTGGTCTAGTTTAAGCTTCAGCCCCAGCATATAACAGCCAGTATTACGTAAAACGTGTGTCATTTTCCAGCGCTGGAATGAGTCCGCTGTCAGATACAGACTAGTGACTATTGTTTCCATGATGGTCAGCATTGACTGTGATTGGTTTGAAAGAGAAGAATGTGGGCATGTCCTGAGTTTTGCTCAAATGCACAACAGCTGTGTCCCATCTAGAGTTTGAACTCCTGGCCCTGGATATCAAAACCACACAAACACACAGATTCTCACAGTGTGTGTGTAAATATAGAAATGGCCGGGGTCATCAGCAACAATATAAGAAGACTAGGATTGGCTTGATACTATAAAGTTGGCTTGATTGAAATCAATACCTATTTTTAAATATATTTTTAAATATAGAACCAATAGTTTTTGATTAAAAAAAAAAAAATTTAAATTGGGTCTGGTCAGTAGTAGTGTTTTTTTTTTAAATTGGTGTTTTTATTGCAGGACAAATATACAAAGAACCTTTTAGAATTTCTACTTCTTCAAGAGCGATTCACATAATGCTAAGGACTTTCATTCAAACACTTTTTTCCATTACTATATCACAAAATAAATAGTTTTATTTCTTTTTAGACAAAATAGTATAGAATTTTGATTTCAGCAATTTAATTATAACCAGAAAATAATTATTGATTTTTCAGTACTGGACAGAAATGTATTATTGGTGCAGCCCTATTTTGTATTCATTCATTCCCCAAATTTCATAAAAAACTAACACTTTTGTTCAGCTAGGATACATTAAATTGATCAGAAGTGACAGTAAATGCATTTAAAATGTTTTTAAAAAATGTTTTTAAACTGCTTCTCTTGAACTTTCTATATTCATCAAAGAATAACTTATAATCTTTTTATTGGTATTTAACCAGATAAATACAAAAGGGTACATTCAATGAAAAGTAAAAAATTACAGCAGTCTCAGTTTAACCAACCCTCCCACTAATATAATATATTATATTATATTATATTATATTATAACCAGTTACCCACACCATGTATATAAAGGGAAGGAAGAAAGAAAATAATACAAATAAATTAAAATATTAATAAAAAGAGGAAAAAATCTACATGACAAAAATTATAAACAAACAAACAAAGAAACATTCCTCTCTTCAAAATGTATCTTCCGTCTTCCCATTAGGTGTTGTTGAGAGTCAGTTACAGCATATCAGCACTGGGATAGGAGAACAGAGTAAATCTTTAATGTGATCTAAGAAAGCTTTCCAGGTCTTATGGAAAGAATTGAGGCAGTCTTAAACAACCTCAAACTTAAACAGCAGTCTGAACTGCAGTATTTACTTTTAAAAATAATTTTTAAATCTTCTTTCTGTCTATTTGTATACAAGATGACTGGCAATATAAGGAGACGATTTGTCCTGATGGTTGGTTGGACCACAATGGGTTTTGTTACCGGTGCGTGGAGGAGAAGTCGAGCTGGGACAGCTCTTCTAGCGCATGCAAAGCTCTTGAGGCAGAACTGGTCAGCATCCACTCCCTCTCCCAACAGGAACTACTACTGAAACTGCTCTCCAATGGTTGGCTGAATTTCATACTAAAGTGAAATGAAATTTCATCGTTTTTAGAATAGTTTTTCGCATTATAGTGTAATTTACTGAAGTTACAGTGATAACAATATGTTATTGGTTATTTCAGGATCCAACTCTAAGGTGTGGATCGGCTTGCATAAGGAGGCCAAACTTTCAACAGTCCAGTGGTCTGACGGCTCTCCCGTCACATTCACATCCTGGTACTCTCAGGAGCCTTCCCATTGCCATGGCGACAAACGAATCTGCGTTACCGCGGACTGGAAGGTGAGATCAGAGGTCGGAGATCAGATTAATGTCACAGGGCATTACTCATAGACCGAGCATACAGTATGTGGTCAGAAAGCAAGCACATGTCCAGAATCACCCCATAAATCAGACAGCAGCTGTGTGCAAGTTGAAAACGGTTAGATCTGATTTCAGAGACAGTCACTGCATGAAAGCTTTACCCTGGGTAATCCGATGCACAGTCACCCGTTAGTCACAGCAGTAAACCAGCGGTCTAGGCGTCCACCAGGTCACATGACAGATCTGACCTTTTTGAACTTTCCTCTGTACTTGATGAGGGATTAATTGTGAGTGTGTTTTAGGAAGGCAGATGGCAATTTGAAGATTGCGAAGAGCAGCATGCAGCAATCTGTAAGGCAAGAGGCCTTGTTCCCCAGCATCCTACTGGAGAATGGGATGAAGGATGTTCAGAGGTGAGAGCGTACTTCAACACACACATAATGATACATTTCGGTGAGGAGAAATGAAATTATAAATCCAATGGCAGTCTTGTTGAATTAAAATAAGAAAGTAACAAAATACATTTTAAAGATCATAAAGTAATTTTTGCTTATGTTTTGGTAGCAAATGCAACAGTGACACATTTTTCATGTGTCTGATATTTTCTGTAGGCTGTTTAGAATCAGAGCTATTGATGTCGATCAGTGTTATTGTTAACTAAAACTATAACTATTAAAAATCATTTATGGTAATTGAAATAAAGCTGAAATAAAATATAAATACATTATTTGTATTTATGGCAACTAACCAAAATAAATACCTTTAAGTTGAATTTTTTCTAAAATTACTCAAATAAATAAATTCAAATTCAACAAACTCATTTTTTCCTGTTTATTTTTATTTATTTATTTATTTATTTATTTGTTGCATGATTAATTGATAAAGTGACCTGCTATTATGTAGAATAAAGTAAACATCACCACACTAATATGATTGAAGTTCAAATTTCAAAATAAAAGTGCAGCAAGAACAAAAAATGAAAGTTCCCCAGTACAGTTGCAAACACACATTTACCATGTCATTCAAAATACATTGCGTGAGAAACATATGAATAAAATGCAGTGATTCAGTGGAGGTCTTAAAAAACTTCAGTACCAAACTGCTTTTTCCCGTCTCATTACCGCACTCTCTTTTTTCCTGCATTTCTGATTGGTTGTGCTTGAGATGGGCTTTGTGTGGGGGTGAGGAGGGCAGACAAGGCCGTGTGTCTGAAGGATGGAGCGGCCGTCAGCGAGGGTGAGAGCAGGTCATGCCCCGAGAACAACGGACTGATTCAGATCTGTTCTGTCGCTCTGTTCCTGCTTTTACTGGCTTTGTAAAAAGTCGGCTGCGAGAAGGACAAACGTGACGTTTATTGCCAAACATAGAAAGGGTACTTTTCAGAGATGCACACGTGCTAGTGCACGGTCATGTATGTGGCACACCCACACTTACTCAGCTTGTACTGTATGCAAAGGACAACCGTTTACTTCTGCTGAAATGGTTTTACATTGTACTGAAGGCAAAAGTGTGTAAATGGTGAAGATTTTAAATACATGCACTTTCCTTTTAACCTAAAATCTTGATCTTGATTAAAGTTCAGAGTTGGCCATCAGCTACCTGATTTTGTCAGTTTGTAGCTGTTAAAATGCTTGTTTCAGTCTGGTCTAGGTTATATGAAGGACACCGAAGTAAAGCCATTGAACTCAGGGTTAATTGAGGGCAGGTGTGAAAACAGCCAGATGCCACTAGAGAATTACAGCTAAAGCTGCATCCCAAATTGCCTGCTTATACAATGAACTATGCACTATTTACTATGAGTGACTAAATCATACCTGACTATAAGTGTCAAAATTGCATTTTTGAGAGAGAAAAAACACAGATGGGTTGCATTTATTACTACATTCAGAAATAATGTAAATAAAAATAAATCTTAAGTAAAAATGAAATGTTTACAAACATTACAAACACTGTAAAAATGTATTTTAGTTGCCCTCACTCCACAAATCCTTTAAATGTAACTGTATCCAGAACAGAACTGGAATTGAAAAGAGGTATTAAACCAATAGAAATTCTAGAGGCGTTCATTATGAACAGCATTTATGATAAATGCCAAGACTAAACTAATTTAAGCAAAACTAAAACTACCGGCATCATGTGGGAAATGTGCTATATAAATAAACTTGGGCTCACGTACTGCTCTAATTCAGCACGAATGCAATTGTGTGCGCTTTGAGCATGTTTTGTGTGCTTGAAGTTAATTGCTCTTTGGAATATACTTTAAGTGGCAGCACGTTTCAAATGATAAAAAAAAAACAGTGAAAGTATATTACGGAAAATATGGTAGAAGTATTTGGTTTAATATTTTAGAGAAATATGATACACTACACTAATTACTAATTCCTGTACACTGCTTACTTTGTAGTGCACACTAAATGACATATAAATCCTATACTACAAACCATAACAATCTGATTTTTTGAGGAAAAGCTGGTTTATCTGTTTCAGCATGGTAATATTTTTCTTTCAAGTCTTCGTCCTTTTATATTAATAATGTATCTGTATGTCAGTTAAAGCCTTGCAGCATCTGTTTTCATTGTGTTGTGTGTATATGCAGGGCTGGAGAAGGAAGGACAACTGGTGTTATAAAATCACAGATCAGGAGCAGACGTTTGAGGAAGCAGTGAAAGGATATTACTGCAGATCTCCTCTTGTTACTGTAGAAAGCAGGTATGTCAAAAATGCCAGAATGGTGTTTTGTTGGTATTAATCAGAGAAAGCAGTGACTGTGAATGTTGACAGAATGTTGACAGCCAGACATATCGTTTGGTGTTTAGTCTCATCTGCCTCAGAATCTTCAAGGAGCGTTTTGGCAAAGCTCAGTCTGACTGCATGTGCTTGCTTACATGCTTGTTTCTTGTGCTGTGGCAGCATTAGAACCAAAAAAAATACAAAGCATCAATTATACAACTGTAACTAGTTTGGTAATTGAATGCAATAGTTGTCACAAAGCAAGGCCAGACACAACAGATAAGTGCAAAACAGGATGGTTTATTGACTTGGTAAGTGGATGACTGGAATAGGTGAGTTAAAGGCAGGTGAATGTCAACACAGTGAATGGTTCCAGGGTGCTTATCTGAGTTCTGATGGAGAGGATCGTATGCCAGTTACGTTGGAGATCGTGGAGCCGTTTCCACGGAGTCGTTGGAGGATCGTGGGAGGAACAGCAGGTAATTCGTTCTAGGAGATTTTGGGCAGAGGGAGTCCAGAGTAGTTCGTAGGAGTGAACGGTAGACCGGACAGTGAGTGGCTGTGCTGTGTGTGTATTTGTAGTGTGGCTTGATTGGTGACAGCAGGTGCGGGTGATCAGAACTCAGGTGACTGTGATCGGGTAATTATCCTGGATGGTGACTGAAGTGACTGTGATGACTCCCTGACAATAGTATGGTAACTGAATAATAAAACATGAAATATGAAACTACCTAGTATACACTACCTTTCAAAAGTAAGAAGTCTCTCATGCTCTTTCTTAAAAATACAGTAAAAACTGTAATATTGGGAAATATTATTGCAATTTAAAAGAACTGTTTTCTATTTTCATATGTTTTACATTTACATTTTTTCAAATGTAATTTATTCCTGTGATGCAACATCATCATCTCCAGTCTTCAGTGTCACATGATCGGAGTGTGTGGTTTCTCTTCGGCAGGTTTGAGCAGACCTTTCTAAATAGCCTGATCAGTGAAATGGGAGGCTCTCAGTCCCGATTCTACTGGACAGCTCTGCAGGACCAGAACAGAACTGGCGAGTACCGCTGGCTGACTCAGAATGACTCGTCGGCACGCCTCACCTACACCAACTGGAACCGACACCAGCCAGGTAAGTCCTTAAAGGGATAGTTCACCCAAAAATGGAAATTATGTCATCAGTTTCTCACCCTTAAGTTGTTCCAAACCTGTGTAATTTACTTTCTTTACAAAAGAGATTATTCTGAAGAATGTTGGCAAGCAAACAGTTTCTGGTAGCTATTGACTTCCATACTGTGAAAAAAATACTACACTCTAAAAAATGCTGGGTTAAATATAACCCAGCATTTTTTAGAGTGTATGGAAGTCAGTGGCTACCAGCAATTGTTTGGTTACCAACATTCTTCAGAATATCTTCTTTTGTGTTTAACAGAATAAATACATTTATACAGGTTTGGAACCACTTGAGGGTGAGTAAATGATGACAGGTTTTTCATTTTTGGGTGAACTATCCCTTTAAAACACTTACCACCATAAACCTGGGCTAGCAGGCGCAAGCAGACTGAAAGCTCTTCATTTAATGAATCATCTCTCTCCCTCTGTCTGCAGTGATTGGAGGAGGGTGTGTGGTGATGTCTGGAGGTCAAGCTCTAGGTCACTGGGAGGTGAAAAATTGTCATTCCTTTAAGGCCCTGGCTGTGTGCAAACAGGAAGTTAGTGGTAACCATGACACCCTGATGCCTGTGCCACACATAGATATGAATGCACAATGTCCGACAGGATGGGAGAGCCGCAAAGGCCTGTCTCACTGTTACAAGGTAGTACAGAGAGTATATAATCATATACCCATTATTGAGAGTCACTGTACGCACTCATAATCTTGTTTTGAATTTGATATATTTTACCCATTGATTAATTATTATTCAGTCTGTTCCTGCCGTTCATGTCTGTTGGATCATGTTCTGAATGTTTGTTTGTTTGTTGTTTAGGTGTATCACAGTGAGAAGATCCTGATGCATCGCACCTGGACTGAGGCTCAGTTCTTCTGCCGGGCCTTGGGTGCTGATCTGGCCAGTTTCCATCACTATGAAGATCAGGCTTTTGTCAAAAAGCTCCTCTTCGTGATGTTCCAAAGGTTGGTTTACATGTTTTCCCACCACAAGTGGGGGTTTATACACTACTGTTCACTACTGGTCGGTAAGATTTTTTTTGCTTTTGAAAGAAGTCTCTTATGCTCACCAAGGTTGCATTTATTTGGTCAAAAAAACAGTAAACAGTAATATTGTGAAATATTATTACAATTTCAAATAACTTTTTTGTACAATATATTTATTTTGTTGAAACCATGATACATTTTTTCCTATTATTTAGAGATGCACTAATATGAAATTTCTCAGCCGATACCGATAGCTGATTATTCCGAATGATATCTGCCGATGCCGATAATCTCTCACAACCAAGTGGCAACCTCCCCGTCTCTCTCCTGAACTGCAATTCATCAACTGGCTCCAAAAGGGAGTCAGTCCCATAGACTCCCAATGTTAAAATGCCCAACTTTACAGCAGAAAAAAATATGTTTACAAGTGGTTTTGGTCTATATAGCTAATTTTGCCCTTCATGACAACAGTGAGGGGGGGGAATTTTTTTATAACTCATCCGTTTAAATTATATTAAGCCTTAAAGTTCTGCATAATTAAGGGCGTGGCCACTTGAGTGACAGGTGGATTGCCGCTGCTGTCACCACCGTCGAGCTAGGGGCGTGGTTTCAGCAACCAGCTCCCGCCTCTTTGCCCATTTTCGATTATACGGGAGTGACGCGTGGCGATGTGCTGCCAAGATGGCGACGGCCGGCTCCGCCAACTTTGAGCTTCAAAAATGCTCTTCAGAAACTATGGGTGACGTCACGGACACTACGTCCATGTTTTTATACAGTCTTTGCTCCCAACTAATGCTGCAAACTACACAGGGTACATTAGAGGTTAAAATGAACAACAACACTATTATAGTCAATGAAATTTTTTTCAGATCTAAATCTAAATTTAGATCTAAATAATATTTTTCAGATATAAAAACACCCTCAAATAAAAACTTTTGTATACAACTCAATTGCACATAAGGTAGTTTTCATAAAGAACTTGCCTACATGACAGATTTATTAAAACATACATATATATTGAACAGTAAATAAGCTCCCTCTAGTGTTTTTTATTGCTAACTAACGTACTGTGAACACTGGATAACTTTCCTGAGGTAAATGCAATTATGACATATTGTTATGACATATTGCTGTTTTATTTGACATCTTTCTTTTGGTTAAAACACTGATTGAGCGATTATATGAGACATGATACATGTCGGACGGTAAGTTGTAGGCTACTGTATCTTTGAATATACCTTCTGAAGTTCATTCATGTTAATTTTGTGCAAATTGAATTAAAGTGTTAGGGCATTGACAGGAAATAATCAGCCCTTATCATCAGCTGTTTTTAAACAATCGGCTCCATATCACCTGGACTACTAGCGATTACACAATGTCGAGAGACCAACCTGAACGGGAACTTTTGTTTTGGAATTTTCTACAGTCTACACTAAGGTTCACAAGTCTGAGACCACATTGAAAACCTGGAATTCAAAATGTAGTTTAAACCTGGAAGGTAAATCAGAAAGAATTTTTCAGACGTTTTTAAAAAGTTACTATGCAAAATAAATAAATATTTAACTGGTAATGTTTCTAGGTCAAATAAACTAACCAAACTAAATAAGCTGACAAGTGACTTTTGGACCCCACTGTATATCTGTATATATTTGTAAAAATTGGAAAAAACAAAAATAATAATAATAGCCTAATAATAATGAGGTAATTAACAAGTATAATGAATTTAATTTCAATTTTAAGATTAATAATTAATGTTAATTATTTTTATTTCATGTTATTAGTTTATTTTGTCATTAAGAATTTCTTAATTAATGTATTTATTTTTTCTCTCTCCTGCCTTTTCTTTCTTGTATGTTTTCAGTACAGAGGGTCGCTGGTTTTGGGTGGGCTTTACTAAGAGAAACCCTTGGTCTGATGGAGCCTGGGAGTGGTCCGATGGCACACCGGTAAAAATTCATAGAAAAAGAGAAACAAACAAAAAGGCCTGGAAAAGAGAAAGCAGAGAGTCAGATGCTTTGGATATGTTTGAATATATTATCTACATGTAAAATAGAGAGACATGAGATAGTCATGAAAGAACCTGTTCATCAGCTTGTTAAAGTATTGTCATGATGCTATTCTGCAGGTGGTGACATCGTTCATTGAGGATATGAATGAAGTGGACTCTCGGATGTGTGCTGTGTACAGTGACCTCACAAACACTCTCACGCCTCACTCATGCGACTCCAAATATGAATGGATTTGCAAGGTCCCTAGAGGTATGTGTTTTGGCTGTATGGATATAACATGTAATGGAACATTCATTTTCAACTTGCTGAAAAGACCAGCTTAGACATTCCTAAATTTCCACACTGGTTTCAAGGAATATTTTTATTTAATTGTTGTTTTTTTTAATTAGATGTAGTTATGTTGTATGAATTGTGTAAGTCTGTTTGTTGGGGCAAAACAACAAGATTTGTTGAAATGTAGGTATTTGATTTTTGGTTTACTTAGGTGTGGAGTTGGTCAAGCCATACTGGTACAGCGACCGTAAGTACAATGCAGCTAAATACTATAGACTAGAGGCTTATCTTCACTGATGATGTTGATGATGATGACACTCGTTTGTGTTTATGATGCAGAACAAGAGCCGTGGGTGTTTTTCCGTGGAGCTGAATATTACTTTGCCAGTAAGCCGTTTCCCTGGGGGTCCGTCTCCTTTGCCTGTAAGATGATGGGTGCTGATCTGCTCTCTGTTCACTCTAGAGAGGAACTGGACTTCATCAGAGAACACATGATCAAGGTTTTATATGAATTTATTTATGTATTTATGTACACTACCATTCAAAAGTCTGCGCTCGGTACGATTTTTTAAACAAATGAATACTTTTATTCAGCAAGGATGCATTAAATTGATCAAACGTGACAGTAAAGAGATGTATAATATTAAAAAAGTTAATAAATTCTGTTCTTTTGAACTTTTTTGAATTTTTGAAAAACAAAAATATTAAGGAACACAACTGATTTCAACACTGATAATAATAAAGCAGCAAATCAGGATATCAGAATGATTTCTGAAGGATCATGTGACGCTGAAGACTGGAGTGGTGATGCTGAAAAGTCAGCTTTGCATCACAGGAATTACATTTTAAAATATATTAAATAAGAAAATGGTTGTTTGAAATTTTAATACTGTTCACAGCATTTAATTTTTGATTAAATAAATGCAGCCATGGTGAGCATAAGAGACTATCTTAATACCGACCTTAAATTTCTGAACAGTTGTGTGTATGTATATACATAAATACATATGGCAGAATATAATACTTACATGTTTCTATATAATAGAGCATATTTATTTGTGTCTTTGTTGTAGGACTCTGAATATTGGTGGATTGGTTTGTCTGCTAACAGTGGTCACAATGGTCTCAGGTGCCTTTCTTTGACTACCATGATGAGTCTCTTTTACAGTATAATTAGAAAAAACGTTGACTTTTCATTTATTTATTTATTCATTAATAAAGTTGTATATAATAAGTGAAAGATAAAGGCAGAAAATATTTTTTGAATAATTCTTATGATTCTTATTTTTTTAAGTTCAAAATAAACAGTATTTTTGCAATTGCATTTGGTCAACAAATATTACAGAAATCACACAGTTCACCTTTAAGAAAGAAAAAGGAGCACAAGAGGAACATACAATATGAAGCTTCATTTTGGGATTTGTGTGTGTTTTATGTGTTTGCTTTCTGCAGTTGGACTGATGGATCCGCTTTGGATTATGAGAACTGGGAAAATGGTCGATTTTACCGAAAGCCTGGCCAAAACTGCATCCAGATGTCGTCTCAGTCTGGTAAACAATCACTTAAGCACACACAAGTCCATTTTCCAGTATACTCAAACACAGCTTATATACAACGTTGTGCAGGTCAGTGGTCAGCAGGAAGCTGTAAAGATCGACATGGTTACGTGTGCAAGCGCAGAACGGTGTCTTTAGTGGAGGATCCACGCGAACCTCACTATGTCGGCCGCTGCCCAGAAAACTGGTTCTACTATGGACACAAGGTTTATTTATTTATATATGTTTCTTTGTTTTGAGATAATTTTAAGTATTGTATATTTTTTAGGGCTGTCAAATCGATTAATCACATCCAAAATAAAAGTTTGTGTTTACATAATATATGTGTGTGTACTGTGTAAATTTATATGTATATATAAATACACACAGACACATGCATATGGCGTGTTAGAACGAGCCATTTTAGGTAGGCGTGGCTGACTCTTAACTTTTATAAAGAATATCTCTTTGGATTTGAGACTTTAGTCTTTGCAACTTAACAGATCTTCTTTATGCAGCAAGAGCTTGTAACACTCCAAAGAGAAAGGAAAAATTGAAATCGCATCATATGACCCCTTTAAGAAATAAATAATAAATCATATATAAATATGAATATACAGTGTATACAGAATATACAGTGGAGATCAAAATTAGAGAATAATCTATAAATACTTTTTCTGAAATATTGTTCATTTTCATCACTCAAAATTTAAGGAATATTAGCTGTTATACTACTAACATGTTTTACAATATAACCAAAGCATTTTGTGGAAAACAGTTATCAAAATTAGAGAACAGTAACCACTGTAGCACAAAAGAAGATTACAACTAAAATTTTGGAGGGTTACAGCTGTCAGGAATTTGCAGTGTGACAGGGAGCATTGTCTTGCATGAAAATTGCAGGCTGATTGGGAGATGCTTGCAGGAGGAGGTTCAAATAAACATTTTCATTCACTCTGCTATGTAGCTGTGTAAGGGCGTGTTCACACTTGGCGTCTTTTTTTGAAGCTGCCAGCGTCTGTTTTACATTATAATCCTTTGGAGTAAACCGTGTTTTCAAAAAAGTCCTGAGCACTTTTTTAAACGCCACCGCTGCCGTCTTTTTCTGCAGCTCAGAGCGTCTTTTCAAGCTGAAAAAAGTTTAACTTTTTAACTGAAAAAAAAAACGCCCTACGTCAAGCGCCTTTTTGACAGCTGACCAATGACAAGCGAGTAGCGAGACCTGTTATTTCCATAACAACATGAACAAGAAAAAATGGAGAAGGTGCCGGTAGATAAACTGATCGTACTAGTTTCGGAGTTATATGATATGAGCACAAAATATTTCGTATAATAATAATGTTTTAATATTTAGTCTAAAATATGCCGCAAACCGTGCATCATCCAACTGGACTAAATTGTTGTAAGCACCATACTGGTTTCTTCCCCGTATAATGTCGTGCACCCCCAAACGTTGTTGTAAACCGACATTCTCTTTCCCGTTAACTTCAAAAGCCAACGCAAGAGCCAATCTCCTCTTTCTCGACATTTTTGCACCACACAGCACTAGGCTACTGTTGCAGCTGTTGCTATAGCAACAAAAGACGCCCTCGGCTGCTATTTGTAATTGTAGCTTTTTTTCACAAAACAAAACGCCCTTGTCAACTTTTTCTTGTCAAAAAAGACACCAAAGTGTGAACATAGCCTAAGAGGCCCAACTCCTGCTGCAGAAAGCATCCCCCAAAGCATGACACTTCCTCCTCCACCTTTCACTGACTTTACACACTCGGGGTTCAGTCTTTCCCCAGTTTGATGCCGAACATAATGTTTCTCAGACCCAAGTAAATTAAACTTGCTCTCATCACTAAAGTGAACTTTGGACCAGTTCTCCTCTATCCACACAACATGCTCCTCAGCAAAGGTTAGTCTAGCCTTTTGATTCTTTCTGCTGATGAGAGGCTTGATCACTGCAGAGTGCGCTTTCAGTCCGACTTCTATTAAAGGATTAGTTTTTGTTTGTTTTTTTGAGAAAATGACAGATAGTTTCGCTAGATAAGACCTTTATTCCTCGGCTGGGATCGTGTAT